TCTTATTTCCACCAAAAGTGTCCATCAAAACAAGAAGGTCAGTGTATCAGTGCAGATGTTTATCAGTCTTTGAATAGTGAACCGGCATAAATCATAGATACCACTATTGATCCACCAGAAAGAAGAGCTGCTGTTGTGGGTAAGGTCAGGTAAATCATAATAGAAATCAAGTAAGCATTAACCTCCCTAACTGGAACAGCCCCTGTAAGTTATGTTAACATCTCCCTTCTTTTCTTAATATTCTGTTTTATTGTCGTCACTGCCTTGGGTAGTAGGAGCATATTTTTCCCTGGCAAATTATTAAAAGACAACAGTTGTTGTACTGGCCCGAGCATAGAAAGTCAACACCAAGACAAAAGTATGCCAAATTGCAGGGTCTTTATTGCCGGCAGCCACGGAGGAGTCGCGTCTCTCCAACCCGTAGCCCCGAAAGGAGGGTGTCAAGACCTTTTATACCTGAAAAACCACCTCGGGAGTGAGGGTGAGGGGCAGGGGTGGGAGCGAGGGGCTTCAGACGTTCTGAGGGCTAGTGGATTCTGTAAATCACCTCCTGGGCAGAGATGAGGGTGAGGGGATCAGGACTCTCCAAGGGCCAGGGGACTTTTTGAAATTCTGATTGTTACTTAAGTGGTTCACAAAAGTCAAGATTAGCATTTGTTTACACATTGTCTGGGTAGGGTGGAAATTACAGTCCTTAATTACTTATTCATATTCGGGTTATAGAGAGCAGTTTCAACAGAAAGCTGAGGTATGGTTGAGGTATGCAGGTTTATGGGGCTTTTACCACGTCACAAGTCACTCACACTTCATGAACACTTTGATCTCTAGAGGTCATTTTCCATGAGAATAAGTCTCTCCTCTGGTCCTCATAGCTCTACTTCCACTCTCTACATGTTTCTTCTTCCAGTTTCTCCCATTAATGTGGTGTTCGCTGATGCCTCCCTACACCTGTGCTGTCTCTTGTGGAGCAATCAGCCTGCATCCCGGGCACTGGGATTGACCAAGAACTTGCCAGCTGCTCTCCTCTGCTTCCTCCACTGCCCTGGACTGAGGCCTTTCCTGTTCCTTTTTATCTTTCTACCCATCGGAGAGTCATTTTTTAGAAAACTAAAGTTTCAAAGGACCCTCAAGCAGACGTGCACTCTGTCTCTCATGGTTCTCCCCACAAAGAAGACAGGATGATAACGGCCCCTAAGAGGATCTCCCCCAACACCCAGAAGTGAATTGGTGGAATGTCTCATAATAAAAAAAGAGATTAGTCAAAAACCAAAGCATCTCAGGAATGGATTTTCTCAAATAAGTGGTTGTGGGACTTAGAAAACAAAATTTAGAAAAACAACTTTGCCAAGTAGGATCAGGCTCTACCCAGGCAAGAAAAAGGTGAGCATGAAAGCCATAAGTAACTTGGTCAACACAAAACAATGTAGCACATTTAATGTCATTTAGGTATAGCATTCCATTTCCATTTTAATTGTATTCTCCAAGTAAAATATGTAGAAAGTATGTATATTTCCATTGAATAACTCAGGGAATTAAAGTTCAAAGACTTTAATAAATATGTCCAGATGGTAGCATTAGTAGGCAGCAGAACTAAAAATGTGAATTTATCTCGCGGGGTTACAGAGAGAATTAACTCTGTTACAAAGAGGTAATTACTATGTGTCCAAGCTAACAAAGTGTGCTTTACATATACTATTTCTTGGGGTAGCTACAAAACACATTTTGTTAGCTTAGACACTTAGTATGAATGAAATAATTGTTCACTATTATTGCAGATACGCACACTTAAGCTACTTTAGATTAATCAATCCTTTGGAAATTTTTAAAAATTTGTTCTGGGTGAGGCACCATGGCTCACGCCTGTAATCTCAGCACTTTGGGAGGCCGAGGCAGGTGGATCATGAGGTCAAGAGATCGAGACCATCCTGGCCAACATGGTGAAACCCTGTCTCTACTAAAAATACAAAATAAATTAGCTGGGCGTGGTGGCACGCACCTGTAGTCCCAGCTACTTGGGAGGCTGAAGCAGGAGAATTGCTTGAACCCAGGAGGCGGAGGTTGCAGTGAGCCAAGGTCATACCACTGCACTCCAGCCTGATGCCTGGTGACAGAGCAAGACTCTGTCTTACAAAAAAAAAAAAAAAAAAAAAAAAATTTTGTTCTGCCTGATTATTCCCGTTTTACCTTTCTCTCTGGGTTCAGTATCATGGCACTGCAGCCTCATGGACTGTGATTTATTCAATGTAGGGTGACTATCTCCCTATGTAGTATGCAGCACTGAATAGTGAAAAAAATGTGGGTTTGGGGGTCAGACATTTCATATACTAGCTGTTTCATCTTAGGAAAAGCCTTGGGCTTCCCTGGGCCATAGAAAATGTAAAATAGGAAATTTTACCTATCTCAAAACATTGTTGAGAGTTTTATATCTCGAAGTGCCTACCCAATCTTTATGCTTAGTAATACGTGTTACTTCCACTCTCAGCCTCATTCTTACTTGGAAATCATGTTCAGAGACTAAAAGACAGTACAATAGCCATTGAAACCATTGGTGTTTTTTATTTAATGTATTTTTTTCCAGTTCTCTTTCTGAGAACACAGGATTAGAGTGCTCTTTCCTACCTCTGAAAGTTTATCTTGTGACTGGTAGAGGCCTATAAACTATAAATGGAAGCTTTACACCTTATTCACCACATCTCCCTCCCTTCATGGCCATGATCTCAAAGTGTACATCAAATTGGAGTCTCTGTCTGTGGGTACTTGAATAACTATAGAAGGCAGGATCCCTCAATGAGCTGGATTGACGTGAGGTATGAATAAGAATAAAGCTCATGTTGGGATAATCCACTGAAATTTTATTTAACCACAGTATAACTTAAATATTCTGGCTGAAACAGGCAACATCTACCACAACTTTCCCTTCCATTTCATTTTCCACCGAATAGTCTGGTTTTAAAGACTCCTTTCTGTTTTCTGAGTGGCCCAGAGGAGCATAGAAGGAATCTGATCAGGTAAGTAAATGATTTATCACTCCCTTTTGGCCCTAAGCAAGCATTTGCCCTGCACTGTTCATCTCTCAAGATATAATTGGACTTAAAATTAAAACTGCATTACCTTTCAATTCATTGACAGGAAACTGGTGGTTTTGACTTAAATAGCAGTTTCAAGCAAGGTATCTATTAAGAAGCTGTGAAAAATTATTCCAGCCTGTTATACTGAGAGCCAGCATGGGAAAAGAATTGTTTTTCAAATGGTACACACTACACTTAAGGCCCTGAGGCCAAATTTTATGATTGGAGGTGGACAGCAGGCTCAGCTCTGTGCCCACCCCGAATGTTAACCCAAACTGCTTTATATAAACGTAGTGTGTTTATTTATTTTGTCATGAGATATTCTTTGTAAAAAAAACTTTCATTGCTTATATGAACCCCCTGAAAATGGCATGAAAAAGAGGTTAGCTTTCAGGAACCAGGTAACAAACCTAGGTCAGCACTGGGTCCAAGTAAACCATGACAGTTAAGAAGAGTGACAGATCAGGCCCCCTCCTTGTCTCTGTTTTAAGCTCGTCTTGGTCTGTGCCCTGATTGCAGAGATAAGACCAGTCCACTAGGAATAGAGTAACTGCCTTTGGCTGCTTCAAAATTTGGAAATCAAGTTGTAGGCTTCTTGTTACTCTAAGTGTGGGCAATAGATGTGCCTTTTAGGTTCTCCAGAAGGCAAGTGCAAACATAAATTTCAGAGTGAAAAAAAGAGTAACACCAATGAAAGGAAAACAGAGGGGCTAAGAAGGTTGGCAGGACCTTTACAGTACATACAGCAAAGTCTCTGCCAACGCAATGGGAGTGCAGGGAGAAAGGGTTCTGAGCCCCGGACTCTTATTGTGAGTTGATATAGCCAGACCCTTGTCCCATCACCATGCCGCCTCATTGACTGGGGGTGCTACAGCTTCATTTGGACAGTTGACGTGGACTTTGATGAAGCTAATGCTGGTGGCTACCAGCTGGCCACATTCTTCAGCAGTGTGTAGCGAGTCTTCTCTTGAAGGGATATCTGAGCAGCACCTGTGTCTGCCACAGAGAATCACTGGCCTCACCATCACCTGGGAGCTCGTGTCCCACTGGAGACCTCCTACATCATAATCTGTAGTTTAACAGATATACAGCCACATTATTTTGCACTTTAGGATTTGAAAAGCACATAATTTTATCTAAAGAATAAAAGGAGGAAGATTACGTGCTACGGCCAATCAGGGACAGTCAGAGTTCCTAGATGTCATTTTGATGATTCAATCAGAGAAATCCTTACCAATTTTAGGACATATAAGAATCACTGAAAAAGCTTGCTAAAAAATGTAATTCCCAGACCTTAAACCCAAAGATACTGAAACCCAAAGTCAGCATGTCTAGAGTGGACTCAGCACTGGTGCATTTCAACAAATGCCCAGGTGGTCCTGAGTCATTCATGTATGTTTTATCCATGGACAAAGACTGATCTTATGAGTGAAATTCTATGCTTTCCATTGCCACATACCAGCGGCTGGGAGGCTTTGAACAAATTAATTACACTTTTTGTATTTCAGTATCCTCAAGTATAAAAATAGTCCCAATGGTTGCAGTTAGGATTAAAAGAGGAAACATTCACTTTTATGTTGTTAAAGAGGAAAATAAAGAGCGAAAAACAAAGCTGAATTGATTTATTTTTCAATCCAGCATTCGAGGGTCACTCGAGAAATGAGTTTTATCAAGTCTCTGCAGCGAAAAGCTAAATAGAGAAGCAAAGAAGAGAGTGAATTCCTATTTGAGAATGATTCTACCAGCTAAGTTCATAAAGTCCCTGGGACTTTCCATTATTCTGAGGCACAAAAGTGCAGGCATGCTTTACCAAGGGGTGCAAGAAGGACTCTTTCAGCATATTGTGGGGCTCAGCATTTTGTGGAGTCACTTTCAGATGCACGTTTGGTATGGTGATTTTTTATTATGGCAGTCTTTGCGCAAACTCCTAACCGTTACTTTGTGTTAGGCCTGGAGCTGGGTACCAGGAATTCCATAGAAACAGCTGTGCCCCTGCACCCATGAGCTCACAGTGTGTGCTGTGATTTGGATATGGTTTGTCTGGCCCTGTCAATTTTGATGGTGTTGAAATCTGCCCCCAATGTTGGAGGTAGGGCCTGGTGGGAGATGTTTGGATCACGGGAGAGGATCCCTCATGAATGCCTTGGTGCTATTCTCACAAGAGTGAGTGAATTTGTGCTCTTAGTTCTTTCGAGAACTGGCTGTTCAAAAGATCCCTCCTCCTCCTCCTCTCTTGCTTCCTCTCCCTTGCCATAAGCTCTCTTCACACAGCTGCTCCTGTTTGCTCTCTGGCATTGAGTAGAAGAAACAGATGGCAGTCCCATGCTTCTTGGATAACATGCAGGACCGTGAGTAAAATAAACTTCTCTTCTTCATAATTAGTCAGTCTCAGGTACACCTTTTTAGCAACACTAAACCAGGCTAAGACACTAAGGAACTTATGGATACAATAGGTGCAGACCACTAGTCCTAGGGGAGTTAAAAGGAAGTCACTTAAGGCTGAGAGCAGAGGTAAAGAGATCAGATGCTAAGCTAGATTCCTAGCCCTGAAAGGTGGTTCAGACACTTTTTAGCCAAGTGACATGGTCAAGTTATTTAACTTCTGTGTCAAAGCATCCTCAAATGAGAATGAAAGCAAGCCTAGCTCATATGCCTTTTTATGAACATTAAAGAAGCAAATTTACATGAATTACTTACAATGGTACCTAGCATGTGGTAAGCACTTAATAATTAGTTGTCATACTAGCAAGCATCCATTCATTCAATGGAATAAAATTCAGCCACTGCAGATTATACCTCAGACATATTCTAGGTTAAGACAATACACTGATGTAATGCTCATGTAACACAAGGAAAAGTCTCAATACAAAATTGCAAATACTAAGTGTTCAGAAAGTGTTAACTATTCTTATTACTTAAATCAGACTGGGGGAGTTGTCTCTGAAAGGTATATAATAGACGTTCCATAAACAGTAGTTCCCCTTCCTTGCTTCTTTTAAAATTTATTTAACTTTTATTTAAGTTCAGGAGTAAATGTACAGATTTGTCATGTAGGTAAACTTGTGTCCTGGGGGTTTGTTGTACAGACTAATTCATCATCAAAGTATGCTGCCTAGCGCCCATTAGTTATTTTTCCTGAGCCTCTCCTTCTTTTCACCCACCACCCTCCAAGAGGCCCCAGTGTGTGCTGTTCCCCTTGATGTGTCCATGTGTTCTCATCACTTAGCTCCAAAACAGCCAGTATAGAATAGAACTAAAGCTTCCTTGGTTACAAGCATTAATTTTCCTGGGTATCTCTGGTTTTGCATTTAATGGTCCTGAAACACCAAGTAGCTTTCTGTTCCGATGGCACACTCCCTGCTGCCTCCTCTCTCCATGCCTTTGGTCATGATCCTTGAGCATCAGAGCTTCTCAAGCTTCTGGGAGGGCTAATGCTTTCTGGCCATTAGGACTCCTTGAGAGCATCATGTGGAAAGCCTGTAGTTAGCTCTCCTCTGAGTTTCTTGTAGCACTTGGGAACTTGTACTTAAATAGCACTCACTGTCGCATTGCAAGGGGGTCTCTCTGAGAGTCTGTGTCCACCCACAGACCATAGTCTTCCCAACAGCAGAACTATAGTTCAGCGCCTTCACAGCCCCAGGGACAGACACTGGACTGGCATATTTTTCAGAAAATGCTGAATAAAGGAATAAATCTCACTTCAGAGAAGGATGACCTTCACTCTTCCAAACTTTCCTACTTCATCTGTATCTTCTCAAGTTGATACTTCTAGCCTGCTTTGCTATTATATTTCCCATTTTCCCACCTTATTTCAAAACCCAACCTTTCCTTAGAAATCTTGTCCACAGTCTGACTCCCTATAAGTATAGGTTTTGGAGTCGGTCAGACCGTGCTTAAAATCTGGCATTAGCCTGTTCTTGCTAAGTAGCCTTGTGTAAGGATTCTCAATTTCTTTCTATTCCTTCAGTTTTTCTAAATAGGGAAGAAGTGAGAAACACAAGAAAACAGAAAAAAGGGGAATTGAAAATACACCTATATCATGTAATAAATATTGACATTTAATTGAGTATATATTTAATATAAATATGTAAAAGTATAAAGATCACAATAGTACAATGTCCAGCACATATTAAGCACATTTGCAACACTGCTAAAAGGATGAATCTACTACTGAGTTTCCACAGCAATGTGCCGCATTGTTCTTTCTCCTAATTTCCATGCGAATATTTCTCTGCATAGGTCACAATTACCTCAAATGTAATTGTCTAAAGCTACTCATAATCATTCTTTCGAACCAGTTTTACCCAACTAGCTAATGTCATAATCTCTTTCCCTGCTGCTTAGACTTGACAACTATACTTAACAACTCTTCCTGTCTATTGGCCAAAGTTCTAAACTAGAGGTAACATAATGCACTCTAGCAATTTTATGTGGAAGGAATTTATTACGTGACACTGATGTAACAGGGTCGGGGGATGTCTGTAGAAAATGTTTTTTCCAGGGAGGAGAAGTATTTTAACACTGGGGTTGTTTGGAATTGCTGATATGTGATGATAATAAAAAGCAGACTAACTTTTGGTTAATTTCATTATTGATTTTAAATTCCCTGCAAATATTGTTCCTGCTTATTTCCTGAATCTGGGGCAGACTGTTCCTTTCTGTCCCTGCACTAATGGTATGATGTTGATAAGGGATATTTACTCATTCACACAATATTGGGATGAACTTATGCATGCACATATATATATATATATGTATGTATATAACCAGAGCTTCTAGGAACAATGCTCCTGACAATCTGGTCTTGTAAGGGTGCCATTTTTGCTAAACCCCCAATAGAGAATTCCTCTGCTCTAGTACAAAATTGAGCAATGCTACACACTACTTCTAATTATAGAGACCCTCTGCTTTATATTAGACATGCTACTGTGTCAAAGGAATCAGTGTCCTATGCTTAGTCTATATTTTCAGAAAGCTTATTTCCAAATTAAAGACTTCTAGAGATCAAGCTGGAATGACCAACATCTTGTACCTGCCCACTAGCAGCGTGAAATTTAGAAATGCAATATGCACATGCACACAGGCAGGTCTTACTTTCCACAACATTGTATTATATTAACTGAGATTTGTACACATTAGAACTCTCTCTTCATGTTTCATCATTCCCTGGTCACTGCAAGAAAACCCGAAAATCAAGAACGTAACTAGGATATGCATGAGTTTCCATTAACAGAGCATCCTGAAAAAGTGAGGACTGCCTATGTATACATAGATTAGAGGACAGGAGTCCCATTTCTTGAACGACCAAAACATGGAAAGGGGTTAATGCGATTAAGGACGTTCATAAATGACACATTTTTACTATATACTCCCAAATATCTTCCAAGTATTTGTCACATTCTATCAGCTCGACCTCCAACATGTCCCTCTTTTTCTGGACTCTTCCCATGGTTGCAGGTCAGATCCTCACCCCACATCTCACTGACCCCTGCAGTGGCTTTTTGCCTTGCCTTTCTGCCTCCCTGCTTCCAGGGTAAATTTTCTAAATCATGACTGTGATTATGCTGTATGCTCAGTGTTGTAACTCCATCTTCTCGTCATTATCTGTGTAACACCATCTGTATTAGCATGACATTGGGTATCACACTGTATTTCTTTAAGTATATCTGCCTTAGTCAAAAAAAGTAAGGGTGATTATTGTAAGGATTATTGAGTAGCTCACTAAACAAAAACACTTATTGAATCATTAAACATCAAATAATGAAAAATAGTGTAGTCCAGGAATCTCAGGGGGCAGAAAAGGAGGCTAGATGACTTTCAACTCTATCTATCCAGTGGTTCTAATCCTTTCTCCGTTCATCCTGTGATCTATCTTAATATAGACTTGCTTCCTCCTTATGAAATGTAGACCATATCTCCAGCAACACCTGGATTATATCTCCAGGAACAGAGAGAAGGGTGTGTTTACCTTGTTTATTTTTTTACGACAACAAACATTCCAGGAAAAATATCAAAGGTATCTAGCATTATGTAAGTGCTTGCCACTGTTTTACATTTTTTAATCTATGTTGGATCATTTTTTCTTTTTCTTTTTAGTTGACACATTATACTTGTACATATTTATGGGATTCAGAGTGAAGGTTTGATACACGTGTGCAACGTGTAATGATCAAATCAGCGTAAATAACGTATCCATCACCTCAAATATTTACCTTTTATTTGTATTGGGAACATTCAGAGTCTTTCATTCTAACATATTAAAAATGTACAATAAATTATTAATGCTATCCACTCTATAGTGCTATTGAACATCAGAAATTATCTCTTCTATCTAGCTGTAATTGTTCATTAACCCACCTCTCCCTCTCCTCCCCTTTAATGACCACAGTTCTATTCTATACTTCTATGACCTCAACTGTTTTTAACTTCCATGTAAAAGTGAAAAAATGTGCTGTTTATCTTTTTGTGCCTGACTTATTTTACTTAACACAGCATCCTCTAGGTTCATCCATGTTGCCATGAATATCAGTGATTCATTTTTTAATGGCTGAATAGTATTCAGTGTGTGCACATATCACATTTCTTTATCCATTCACTTGTTGATGGACATTTAGGTTGATTTCGTATCTTAACTCTTGTGAATAGTGCAGCAGTAAACATGGGGGTACATATATCTATTGAATATACTATTTTGTTTCCTTAGGATAAAGACACAGTAGTGGGATTGCTGGATCATATGGTAGCCCTAGTTTTAATTTTTGAGAAAGCTTTATACTGTTTTCCATAAATGCTGTACTAATGTATAATACCACTATCAGTGTATCGATGTATGAACTTTTTTATCTCTGCATCTTCTGCAGAATTTCTTCTTTTCTAGTTTTTGATAGTAGCCACTCTAATTCGGGTGAGATATCTTTTTTTGTAATTTTCTTTCTGCCTTTTTAT